TAAATACTACTATATTTACAATACTCCCGCTTGAATGACTAATTACACAATAATTATTTCATTGAAATCGTGTTTGACAAAAATTCGATGGGATAAAAATGCGAATAAATGAAAAATAGTGCAAATAATTTGGAGTAATAAAATGTTGACTCGTTAAGACCTTGTTAAGAAAATTCAGTGAAACAACTTGATCGAAGGAAAAAGAGTACGACTGCTTCCCTGATTTCAATTCTTGTATTAATTTATCATTGTCTTGTATGTCAATATTTTCAATATTACAATTTCTGGTAAAGTTCATCTCATGTTACAATTTCTTACAAGATATTTATAAATTTTTGATAATTGTAGTAACATGATGATTTGAAAATAACTCTTATTGATCTATTGGGGAATCTCATACATATATGAGATTTTGAGGGTAGATGTTTTGTATGTTATAAACATTCATCATATAAAGAATATGTCTTATTAAAATCTTATTAGAAAAAACCTTGTGGGAAAAATCCTGATGAAGGAAAAAAAATACATTGTTCTTTTGAATATGTTAGAAAAGTTTCTTGTTAAAAATCTTGTCAAAAAAATCCAATGGAACAAAACATCGATTAAGAAAAAAGAGTACAACACATTTATTCCCTCTCTCATGATAATATTATCTGAACCATGCTTCAAACATATTAAGTCATTCCATGATATTTTCAAAATCATACAAGATATATTGTCTATAATCATATTTATTACATATATCAAATTTAATGCATTTTTACGCTAATGGGATAGAAACTTATGTTTACATCCGCCACATGATAATTTATCTATTTACACAAGTTTTTGCGAAATTCATTATGTAAAGAGTTGTACATTTCATATTACGACTTTACTTTTTCTATTTTCATTTCGCACAAGTATACACCTTTAGGTTTCTAATTATAGATTCAAAAACTTCAAGTTTTTTTAGTGAGTTTAATTTTAGTATGATCGCGTCATTTTATTTGGCCTATCATTACTTCGATTGATATGTTTCAACGAATTTATTTCAATTCCTTATTATTCACAATATGATTTGTGTACAAAAATATTGTTGACAACTTTTTATTTTCTATTATATTCTTTTCTATAATTATATAACTTATTGAGATCTCAAATTTCATTATTTCAGGTACATAAATCTCTTATGGGGTTTTATAATTTTTTATGTCTAAATATTCATCAAGAATATATGATTATTTAATGTGATTATCTTTGCTAATTGCTTCATTTTTGTTTGGAAATTTTTATATTAGAATTGAATATTATCATGCTTCAAACGTGTTATAAATTTATTAAATATAATCTTAACTAATTATCTTCTAGACGTTGATTCAAGTTGGAGCGTTTAAAGTTGGTGTATAAGATATTGTTAATTCATTTGGTCAGAAAATACATCTAAATAAATTGTCTTTCGAACTTGTGGTTCAAATTATCTTTTTGCAAGGATAATGATGCATTTTTATATTATTTTCAATTTCTTAATTTCTCTTCCTAATACTGAGGGAATTGTCCAATCAAATTGACCATCATTTTACCGTGTTATAAAATATCACTTGTTTGAGATAAATGTTCAAAGTACTTATTTATTCTCAGTATTCTTCACTTTTCAAGTCTGTGCATTGTGGCTGATCAATTTTACATATGTTGCACTATTGAAATAATTTAATAGAAAAATCAGGTTATGACCACAAGTAAAGTTATAATTGGGAGATCTATGATATTAGTATGATGCGTAATGGTTTTCCCTAAATTTAAATGTGAAGTATTTTGTTCTCATTTAAATTAATTACAGACGTTTAACAAATAATAGTGTTAAATCATTTATCGACATCTCAACTAAAACTTATTAAAAAGTTGAGATTTAGAATCACTGGCATCAACAAGACACGCCATTGTATAATATGAAAATTATGCTTATAATTTGAATAGTAATTTCGCAAACTTTAAATTGTGAACACCATACAATCATCTAGTATTTGTATCAAATTTATTAGATACAAATAATATCTAGATTGTCAATGTGGAAGGTGATGAACCCCATATATCATCCTAATTAATTTTCAAAAATATAGGGGAATTCAATCCCTATTTAGCTAGTGATGACATATTTTCATGAAAGAGAACAATCATCATATAGAATTTTATTGGATTGAAAAATCTCCTGATTCTTCATTGAATTTTTATTTGAATTTTTAATTATTCATCAGTATTGATTAAGTGATGGTCTAACGGATCATACCAAATAATAAAGTCAAATTGAACTTATGGTTCAATATAAGATATAATTCAATTATTTAATTTCAAAAAATATGATTAAACATTTAATAAGTATATATCATTAATGTAGTCAAAATAATTGATGTCCTCATCACATTAGTCATATGTTTTCCTTCGGAGATAGACGTGAATTCAAAATGTTATATTCTTCAAAACATGAACTATTTTGAGAACATGTAATATTTTATTATTGCTTAATTTGTGGAGAAAACATTTCGCTAGTTTAATCAAAATAAAAAGATTACGACTAGGTATAACTCTAGTTACTTTTTTTTTTTTAACTTTACACATACTATAGTTACTAGGGGTTTAGCACATTTCTTTGAATCATATGTTGAATGAAATCGATTCTATCAATCATTTTTTGCAGGGGTAGTAAATATCAAAGTTCAAGGATCGTTATTTAAATACTATGCCAAACGGACCCTTAGCCCAACATTCATCTTTTGTGTACTGTTGGGCCAAGGTGACAACTGGATCTGGTTTGCTCATGAGCTCTCACATTGGGCTAAGGCCCAAAGGGAGCAACAAAAGAAGGGACTGCGAGAACTCTTGACCAAACAGCAGATTTTGGGCCTGAGAAAGAGCTACCGCTGGGACAAAGGATTCAAGATCAGGAATTTAAGAAGGGGAAATTAGAGAAAATAGAAAAAAATTAGAGAAATCATGGTTTCTATTATAGAAAAATCAGTTATTATTTTACTTATTTACAAATTAGGTATTTTTCTTTAGAAAATAATTTAAATAAAATTTTATTATATGTTATTATTTTTCCCCAATGTCATTAGAATGCATTGACTGACTGACTTAAGCTACATGAAGTAGCCCACGCCGATGGGGAGAGGAGAAATTAGATAGCAACATCGCCAAGCCATTAAGAGATTCCATTACTACATGGAAATGGAAAAAATAAAAAATGTTCGCGTTTAAACCCTTAATTGGAAAAGTTACACATCGAGTTGAACTTTTGGGGCTAGAATGAAAATTATCGATTTTATCTTAAATTTTAACTGAAACTATTGCTTTTCGGTTTGGCCCAAAGTATCAAATTCGCACCAACCCAAAGTATAACGGAGAGAGCCCAAAATTCACGTGATTCTATGAAAAATCTAATTAATTATAATAATGTACATTTATTGCATTGGAGATGTTTTAATGATTAAATTTAGGATTAGGTATCATTATTACCCCCTGTTTGGACGCCCTTCTTCCAAATTTATTATTAAGAATTCGACCGTTATGCAGTCAGTGGGCCCCACTTTGACAGTCATGTTTGACTGTTTATCTGCAGTCAATTAAAAAATTTGATGAAAAGATCATGGTGCCCTTAACTTATTGCATCAAATATTCATAAGTAGGACAATTTTGATATTTTAAATAGAAAAAGACGGCTGCCATTTTTTTTCAAATATTGCGGTTGGATCACTGTTAATCGAACTGTTGCAACGTTTATATTTTTTATTAAAATGTGGAATTAATGATTCTCAAACAGACTGTTAAATATAATTATAAACGTTAAAAGAGTTCCAATTTCGAAATGCCCGCCTCCCTATATGGTGGGTCGGGTTTGTTCCTTCACACACCCTGAATCCGGGCCCTCTTACTTCGCCGCCATTTGTTCCCACTTTCCAATGTTGATACACAAATTTTGTTTTGTTCTGTCCCGATCCTTCTCCATTCAAGCCCACTTTCAATGAAAGCAGTATATGCATGCGCTCAAATTCATACGAAGGATCCGATTGGCTGAGTACACATGTTCAATATGTTCATTTATTCTACCTGTACAGCAGCAGTTGATCGAAGTGGTTGACAACCACTCACAGTGGTGGACCACACTGTGATTAAAAAAATAAAATTTATCCACCCACTCCCATGTATGAGAGATTGTCAACAAACCCACCCCTCCCATACAAGTTGCATTCCATTAATTAGAAGGCACTAATTTGGAAGTATTCAATATTCCTTCTTGAAGATTTCATTCGTCAGCACTACATTTTACTTGTGCAACGGAATTAAGGCTCCATTTGATACACCATATTTTCCACTGCCCCAATCCACCCTGACCTAGATATTAGTTTAATAATGCCATAGAGTCGAAACAAAAACTTAAATATGTAACTTATAAGTTTAGTCAAACATGCTGGACATAGTTAATTTTTTTCAAAGAATTATTGAAATAATGACCTGAAATGAAATATCTAGAATCACTTGCTAATGTAATCCAGGTAAAATTTTCAACCTAATATTCCTCAGGAGAAATCTTGTGCATTAATCTAGAAGGAAAAAAATTCTCGTGAAAAGTATTTTAGTATATATGAAGATTATTCATTCTCATAACTATAAAATGGACTTTGTGAATGTTCTCCATACAGAATTGGTAAAGTATTAACGGAATTGTCGTTACTGCGTTTAAAATCTAGTAACATAATGTTGACTTCGATTGATGCTAATAATCTTGAAAGATAAGGAATCGATGCTAGTAATCTTGAATAAAAAGGCCAATAATGATGAGGAGATTAAAAGAAGGGTGATTTTTTCTTCAAAAACGTGTAAATCAGTAGTCGGCCATAATAAAAGATCATTAACCTACGTTCTCTCACTTATGACTGCACCAACAGTTGTACTATCTGAATATTATTGTTTTTTCTGTTGCTAAAGTTGTCTTCAATGAAAACATTTGTATTCTTGTTTAGAAAATGGTTAATGGTGGCAAAGTGGAATTCCGGACATGCATCAACTTCTCGCAGAGATCCAATGTTGATTTAGACAGATTCTGCAATGAATTAATTGGCATGTGTAATAGCAAAGGGATGGTATGGCCTTTCAATTTCTGCATTGAGTTTTGCTTTGGCAAACATTCACTACACTTCAAATGTTAGTTACAACACTGGAATCTTGTGGTTGCTTTTAGGAATTTAATCCAAGACATTTGGTTCCTATTCGATCTGTTCGTCCTGGTCAGATAGAGAAGGCCCTCTTTGATTTGCACACTGATTGTTTAACTAGAGTGACTGGGAAACAAATTCAGTTGCTAATAGTCATTTTTCCTGATGTCATCGGATCTTACGGTTGGCTATAAACCTTTCCCGATTCAAAATTTCTAAAGTGATTCACTATCTTGAATTGTGGCATTTTGTTTTTCAGGTCAGATCAAGAGAGTTTGCGAAACAGACTTGGGAATTGTCTCTCAATGTTGTCAGCCAAAGCATGCATCTATGCATCCAGATACAATAAACAATATCTTGAGAATGTTGCTCTAAAAGTCAATGCGAAGGTTTGCTGGGATATCATGTGCCCGAATAGTCTACTTTGATCTTCTATTTCCTTTCTACTCTAAATAAATTGCTCCTTATCTTTCACTATTTTTTTTTCATGGTTATATTTTCATCTAGGTTGGTGGCCGAAATACTGTTGTGGAGCAGGCTATTAATGGAAGAATTCCTTATCTTACTGATCACCCTACAATCATATTTGGGGCCGATGTTACTCATCCTCAACCAGGGGAGGATTCCAACCCTTCTATTGCTGCTGTATGTTGAAACTTCTTCTCTCTGTTGCTCCTTCCCTCTTTCCAAAAGGACAGATAAGATTTGAGACATTAATATTTACAGGTAGTGGCTTCGATCGACTGGCGACAAGTAACATAGTACAGAGGGTTGGTTTCTACACAATCTCACCAGGAAGAGATTGTACAAGATCTCTACAAAACAATTGAAGATCCTAATAGAGGCACTATTCATGGTGGCATGATCAGGTCAGACAGCCCTCAACATTGTTGGAGGAAAGAGAGGTTTACTAACTTGGTTTGGCTAGACTTGATAGGAAGGACAATACTAATAGGAAGAAGTAAGTAAAAGGTAAGTAAAAGGTAACTTATATTTCTCAATTTCAAGACTTACACACTTGACTTGACTTATTACAAAATGGATGGACTCTACCCCTTTATATAGGGTTTACATGAAACTTCTAGACCACACATTTCCTAGAGCATTCTAGACTTCATATTTTCATGAGGCTTCTAGACCACATATTTGGACTAGATATTTTTCTAGAATATTCTAGATAGAATTTCTAGAACCACATAATCCACTTGACACATTACCATATTTATGACCACATCTTTTACTTAGATATTTATATGGATATTTCTAGAACATGTTTCTAGAAATGTTAGACTTTGTTGGGCTTTTTAATTGAATTGGGCCTATGAGCAAACTTCTTAAGCCCATATTACTTACTCCAAAATCAAGTTTACTTCCCAACAAACATTACCTCTTAAGTCTTTTGCCTCTTCCTCTCTTACCAATCACTTCCATTTTGTTATCTTCTACTAGTTAACAGACTTAAATCCGTCTTTCAATTGTTCCTGTGTTTTGCTCCACATGCTATGAAATGTAATGCTGATAATTTTTGAACGACAGTGATGGAGTTAGCGAGGGGCAGTTTAACCAAGTTCTTTTACATGAAATGAATGCAATCCGGATGGTATGTGATCTATTGGTTTCTTGATTATTATTTTCCCCTTTAAAAGTATTCAGTTTACGTGGTTTGTTGCTTTTCATATTGCATCTCAATGGGGGCTTTCTTCAGGCATGTGTTTCAAGTGAACAAACTTACCTACCACCTGTTACCTTAGTTGTGGTTCAAAAAAGGCACCATACAAGTCTCTTCCTTGCCAATCATGGGGATCGAAATACAACAGACAAGGTTGTAAACATTTTGCCAGGTATGAATTTTTTTGGTTCGTATATGGAGCAGGATCTGTCACTTGTTTTTCCTGCCACCTTTTCCTGTATTTGATCATGTGGTTATACCAAGATATGCCACCCCAACGAGTTTGATTTTTACCTATGTAGCCATGCTGGGATTCAGGTACTACGATTCATGCTGTTTAGTCAGTTTACAGGCATTATTTCTTTGTATATAGGTATATCTACTTAATAAGAAATGCATATAGAGCGCAGTCTTTTATAGGATATGTATTGATGCTTTGCTTTAGATTTATGATTTATTTCTATATCTCAAACAGGGAACTAGCCGCCGCACACATTACCATGTGCTGTTTGATGAGAACAAATTCAGTGCTGATGCTTTGCAGCTGTTAACCAACAGCTTGTGTTATACGTAAGATTCCACTGCCTATCTCTAATGAAATTTTTGTTTTATGAATGACAAGCTTTACTTGTTATTATATACTTGAATTCTCACTCTTTCAGGTATGCTAGGTGTACTCGATCGGTCTCTATAGGTTAGTTAAGCCTCTTTTCATTGTGTTCATTTTACTAGGTTTTCTTACGTAGAAGATTTGTTAAGATTAAGATTTTCAACTGCTGATATTTATCTGGGTTCCTGTGTAGTTCCTCCTGCTTATTATGCCCATTTGGCTGCATTCCGTACTCGATACTATGTCGAAGGTGGTGAGCTCTCTGACAGTGGATCTGCTCCTGGAAGAGACGCAACAAGGGAGAAGAATTTGGAGGTTCTCTCACTGCCTGCAATCAAGGATAATGTCAAGGATGTGATATTTTATTGCCAGAGAGCACTTTATTTTATAACTTCCAAAGTGGAATTTTTGGTGGGTGATCCGGCTAGCAGTAAGACTTCTTGTTGCGGATAGTTTTGTGCAAACATTTTCATGGATATCTTTTTAATCTTGCTGCGTGCAAGTTTGTTATTTACTGAGACGAAATATGGGGTCGTTTTAATATATAATTTAATATATGTAGCAAGATAAAATGGCTTGTTCTTCTTTCAAATACTTTACGTCTCTATTATTAAGTATTACATTGATTATTTACGTGCTCGAAAATATGAAAATTTTTGGGGAAAATCTGGCCCATGTTTGGTGGCCATCATTTCCATTTTAAAGAGTTTTGAATAGTATTTCTTTGTAGAATGTGTAGTTAAAAAGTAAGGAAAAATTTTAAACTTACGTGCAGAATATTTTATTGTGTGAATATGTAATTGAAAATAATACAATAGAACGTAGAGTTTTAAAACAATGGGAATCACATGATCTCTTATATAATTAATACAAACTTCTACAATGGGAGGTCTTAGAATATTATTGATGAAGTTCCTCAATAATTGGTTCATATTATTGATTTTGAGTCACTACAAAAAAAAAGGGTTCCAGCGACCAACAAATTTGGTCGCTAAAGGTCATTTTTTGGTCGCTAAAGATCTCTAGCGACCAAATAATCGTGGTCGCAAGCTGGTCGCTAAATCACCGTCGATGAAACTTTCCAGCGACCAATAATGTGTGGTCGCTGAATATAAAACTTTCAGCGTCCAATAATTGGTCGCTAATAGGTGCAAACAGTGGTAGCTGATGAAGGTTAAAAATAAGACATCCAGCGACCAAATACATCTAAGACCTCCAGTGACCAATTCCGTGGTCGCTAAAACCTTAGACCTCCAACGACCAATTTATTGGTCGCTAATGGCTATGTGGAAAGGGGACCTCCAGCAACTAATATTCGTGGTCGCTAAATATATATACCTTACAGCAACCAAATAATTGGTCGCTAAAAGGTTGAACCGCGATGGCTTTACACTCATTTGCAACCAATCTTTGGTCGGTGAACATTAATATCAATATTTTAATAGCCAATATTATTTGTTTTTGTTAATATTTTATTTATTAATTCAATTTCCAACAACCACAACGACAATTGAAATTAGCAATTTTGAGAATCTGAAAAAATTAAAATTAGCAAAAAACATGTACATAAATAAGATTGTATTGCACATATAACAAATACTAATAGTCGATACATAACCCGAAATGTCTAATATTTTACCACAAAAAAATAAATCGCAACTTCAACCTAGATTGAGTTGTCGACCTATTTACATTATATTGAGCAGTAGGTGTTGAGCCATGACTGTGTAATTGATTGGAGTGTTGTACTTGTTCGAAGCTTTAAATATATCTCATCCCGACTCTTGCTTGAGATGTTGCTTAGTCTGTCATGTAGAAAGTAATAGAAAATGCCTGCAGAAATAAAATGAAAATTAATGTAGAAGTTTGGTACATATTATCTATTTTGAACATGGTCAGTTGTATCAGAACATTATGAAAACCTTCAGCAAGATAGCTAAAGGAGTTTTTATAATGAAGAAATAAATATCTAAAGACAATCATATGTATGCAGTAATAATCATGATTTATCTACTGTTACTTCAATTTGTCGTTGTTACACATAAAACAGATAGATATGCTTTGCACCATAATGGAAGTAACACTATAACTTTTATCAATCTGAACTGGAACTTGGTAGTAAAATTTAAATGTATATATAGACTTGTTACAACATATGAGCAGCCACTGCAGGCTTAGATATATGAACACAAGCTTGAGCTTAATAACTTACTGATAGAAGGTCAACTACATCAGGTTCCAGTGATGGAACAGGTCAAGCCAAGTTCTGAGGTTCCCATTGTGGATACACATACCAATCCCTCAGTGAACTAACTCCAGGCCACTGTTTCTCTGTTGGTGTTCCCAACAACCTTCCNATATCTAAAGACAGTCATATGTATGCAGTAGTAACAGTAGATAAATCATGATTATTACTGCATAAATATCTAAAGACAGTCATATGTATGCAGTAATAATCATGATTTATCTACTGTTACTTCAATTTGTCGTTGTTACACATAAAACAGATAGATATGCTTTGCACCATAATGGAAGTAACACTATAACTTTTATCAATCTGAACTGGAACTTGGTAGTAAAATTTAAATGTATATATAGACTTGTTACAACATATGAGCAGCCACTGCAGGCTTAGATATATGAACACAAGCTTGAGCTTAATAACTTACTGATAGAAGGTCAACTACATCAGGTTCCAGTGATGGAACAGGTCAAGCCAAGTTCTGAGGTTCCCATTGTGGATACACATACCAATCCCTCAGTGAACTAACTCCAGGCCACTGTTTCTCTGTTGGTGTTCCCAACAACCTTCCATGATAAACAAGTCATAGTAATTTGTGAGAAGAAATAAGTCATGCTCACAAATTAAGCAACAACTGACATCAATTAATTGGATTGGAAGACCTTATTCAATTGAAACTTGGTTATAAATGTCTTCGGGAAAAACTTGGTCCAGAAAGGATGAGATCTCTCACTACGACGAACATATCCAAAGCATCAGACATTAAAGATACCCTATAAACTTGGTCCAGAAAGGATCTTAAGCATATGAAAAGAGGCCATTGTATGTACTGTTAGAATATTTATTTAACTTATTTGCTATGTTTAAAATAATTCAAAGGTAATGATTTATCATAGCGATAAGGCATGATATAAATCAAAAACCATAAACATATTGATCAAACTAATAGAAGAAACATGTATGTACTGTTAGAATATTTATTTAACTTATTTGCTATGTTTAAAATAATTCAAAGGTAATGATTGATCATAACGAAGGGGACTGTCTATAGAACAAAAGAAAGGAAGACAAATAATTTACCCAAGAATTCCATTTCTTTTGATCTCATCTCGATTGCAGAATCCTTGTTTTGTTGTCGTACAAAAGAAAGGAAGACAAATAATTTACCCAAGAACTCCATTTCTTGAGATCTCATCTCGATTGCAGAATCCTAGTTTTGTTGTCGTCAAGGAGGAAGACTCGAATTCCCTTGGGCAAATCCTTTGACCTCAGTAGATTATTACCAGTGCAAGCCACAACTTGTTTTGCATCTTTCTCAAGCTGAATAATTAAAGTTTCACTTCTGTAACAAAGAACAACAAAAAACACCACCTATTAGTTCCAGATATCAAGGTAGTTAACTAAACACAGTCCAAATAATAGTTTTTCATCATAAAGAAATTTGGGAATATTCATCAAAATTGAAGAGTACAACCGTGTCGAAAGTTGGTAATAAAGCATAATTAAGCGACACGAGTAGTTAATTCTACACCCAAAAACTTGAATATGATAAAACTGACATTAGATTCACTACTTTTATGTTCTGTATCGAGCATTACTTGTGTGGGAAAAAATCATAATTGTGCAGGGGAGAATAATATAATTCCATTTGTTTATAGGAATGAAAAATCATAATTGAACCTGTAAGAATGTGCAAAATATAATTTACATCTTGAAAAATGAAAGACAAAATGGGAAAAAATAAGGATAATACCTTGTGCAGGGGAGAATAATATAAATATGGACAAGAGCATCATCCTCAAAAACTACCTCTCCACTTCCATTGACACATTAAATCTGCATGCCAAAGAGTCTTAATCTTTCTTCCCAAATTGTATGAAGGGCACAAACAAACTGAATAGATATTACATTTTTATTGAATGATTGTATGATCATCTCATCTAAAAATCATGTTCTTTGACTATTCTTCCCACAAAAATCCCACCATGTAAAAAGCATTGTTCCATGCTCCAATTAATGTAAAATCTAAATAAGAGTCTTGAAGTTAAAATGTTTGCATAACCTATCAAAAAAAAAAAAGTTAAAATGTTTGCATAATATACCTTTCATGCTAATGAGAAGAACTTCTTACCCTCATTAGAACCATAATGAGTAGCCATTGATGCTAACATCCTCAGAACAAAACATGGAGTTTATCCATCTGTGCACATAGAAATGACAGAATTAGATTGAGATCCATGATGCATTTTTCCTTAATTTTATTTTGAAGCCAGAATTCTTGAATTTATGAAAAACAAGTAATTACAAAAACCATTGCTTACAATGGGAATCAAACCACCTGTGCTTCAGTCAGGAAGGTAGAGATCGTAATACTTCGACCTGGAAACTTATCAGTAGGTTTTAGCTCGCGCCATTTCTTCTTTAAAGAGGACAAACAGATCTTGATATTGGATGATTTCTCTACAAAGTGATTTAACTCAATTCATATACCTTCAAGTTCAAGATACAGAAATGTCTTCCAATATGTTTGACAAACCAACTTGCAGAACAAGGAAAAAACAATAGATAAAAGAAAAAAAATCAGTAAGTGCTAACAAGTTTGTTGACTGAAAAGGATATTAAATCGAAATCTTGTCCACAGTTCATTGTTCTACTATCCTCTACATTCTAATAGTTTGGCTGGACCCTTCCATATTTTGTAGATTAAGGTGGGTGAAACAATGCTTAGCCCATGCTCAATTTGGCACTTTAAGCCTTCTTAAGTTTCATCTAATAAAGTGAGACTGAGTATTAAATCTAGAAGCAGAGTATATACTATAATTTGGAATAATATGCACGCCATGGTATTTAAATCAGAAATTAAACTTTCCCAGGTTAAATGCAATTGGTTCTTAGCTTGCTTGGAATCAAACTTGTGCCCCTGCAAAAATTGAATGTTTGCATTTTAAGTAAAAGTTATCCATTATTTGGACAAATTAAATGTAGCCTTTTAAAAGACAGTCAAATACTCAGTTTTGGCCTCAAGGGATCAATTGCACGTCTCAAGGCTTGGGACATACTACCCATTAGTTTTGAATTACCACAATATCCATCCATGTAAAATGGTATTCTAAGTTCCAAAAATATTGCAAAAATAAATAAATAAAGTCGCAGAAATTATGAGCGGAAAGTACTGGAGAGAAAAAAGAGCATAACAAATCCTAATCATTAT